ATTCCTTGGTGTCGGTCTTATTGTTTCTTGCCTCTCCCATGAACCAGTCATCTGTCCGAACTTGTCGATCAACGGGCTTGCATACAATGGCCGACGTGGGGTGAAGGCCTGTATGCAGGACGTTGCATCACATGCATCTATGGCAGTACTTATGGTCTCACACAGATTCAACATAGTCCAGCAAACGCACGCCGTGGGCCAATCTAGCTCATGTTTTAGTCCGGCACATGTGCAGAGCAGTCCACCGTGAGACCACGGCTTTGATCCCCATTGGCAATGGCAGCGTCTCTAGACCACTGAGCACAGCTACTAGTAACTCAAACACGCTTCCAGCATTCCCGAACACGGAAATCACGCTTTGCCTCGTTCGATCATCTGCGAAACCACTGCAGTGCAACTGGAGAATCAGTGCCAAAAGCCACGATCAACGCCTATCAAGTCCGCCTTGCCTGTATACGGAGTACCAACACCTTCATTCATTGCATTGGTTTGTTTTGTCGTACGCAGATATGTGCATGGCGTTGAGCACAAAGAGAACGGCCCAGCTCCTTCCTAGTCACTACTCTACATACACTCAGGCAGTATATGAGTCCAATCCGCCATGTGAGCATAGACGTCAACGCTCAACAATACGTCTCTCATGTAAACCGCAAAAGTCCAAGTGGTGGTAAAGCATCGAATATACATCTTTCATTTGGGTGGAACATGCATTTTTATGAAGTCCGGTTCAGGTGGGATAAGGGAGCAGCACATGACTGTGTGGGCCATTCGCAGGATATGACGTTCATGCCAAGCCAATCAGCGCTCCTAAGCTCATCTTCGGTATTCTTGACCTTGTTTTGCCTGCGGAATACAGGGGGCATGGGAGGAGTGAGCCGGTTGCAGCCCAAGTCGGCCTTAGCATGCAGTTCAGTTTGCAGGCAACTACACACCTCCCCTGGACTGTGACTGTCCTCATTTCTTGCTATGGACGAAATATCGGAGTGTCGCTTTTGGCGCACAACTAGGTCGGCGCCGCTACGCCAGACCCAATCAGAGGCCAAATACGAACTTAGCATGCAGGAGGCGTATGCAAGATGCCTCGACATCCCCCAGAAACCGGCCTGATTTACAATCGGCGTGACTTTGTCTCGCCGTTGACACATTTCCACAGGGAGGAGGAAGACAGTGTAAGGTCGACCTCACTCGACATGGTTCACAATGAAACTACCACAACAACTTACAGGCAGAGACTTGGAAGGCTACCATCTAGCTATATAACTTGACTCTATAGACGGAGGGCTAGGCTACATTGACTCCCTAACAATGTGCCGTTGCTAAAAATCCCAACGATATTACATCTGGTGGAGTGAATGAAGTTCTTTCTGGTTTGAGGACGAATTGAGAGACAGTGAGGAATGTTCGGCCGGACGCTGTACCAGAGCTCATTTCCAGTCATTTTTGCTAGAGTCCTGCCACTGGGAAATTTCTGTTCTGAGAGAGAAGAGGGGGAGCGATGTTACAAAAGTCCCCAACACTGGAGGAAAATTCACACGCAAGTCTTTTTTATCTCCCGTAATAATAACGGTTTTCACCGCGTTCGATGACGCGCGATTTGCCTCGTTGACCGAGCTGGTCCGTTATAATTTCCACGGACATTAACACAAATATGACTACGGCTCATCATCTCTCAATTTGGGAGATCTCCGAGCGTAGGATGCGTTTCTACAGGTTAGGGAGTTAACCGTTCAGTGGAAAAACCTCCTAAACAGTCATTTTAAGGCAAATTTGTGGGGCCTAGGACTGTGGTCATATTTGGAAGTGGAATATAATAGGAGGCTATCGGCCGTTCTCCGGTCTTGGGGCGGTAAATTGCCCATAATGACTATGTCGATAAATTTCCTTCTTTGATCTTGATATGAAAGCCTCCCCGGAAAATGTAGAAGACGAGGTAGCTCTTTGGAAAATTTTAATGTTAACATATCCCCACGGGAACACGTTGCGCATGAACCCCATGGACAAAATATTCCGGAGTTTGCATAAGAACTTGCTTGATGGACATTCTCAAGAATACGAAAGAGAGGATGCCTACCTAAAAAATTGAGTCAGACTTTTTCTCATGTGTGGATGGGCTCCCGCGTCGCCTGCTCTAGAGTAGTTGAGTGCACACCCATTGGGACTATGTTCTTGAAAATAATAATTCATGAACCCCTAGGAAGAGAAATTCCACACACCGAAGTAGTCAAATTTCCTCCACTCAGTCTATATTGGCGTCATGGAGCGTACTTTATAAGTTATCAAACACGCTGCGTTTGCCGTTACGCGAAAACCCTGGGTAAGCGATTCCCTGTAGCTCAAAACCTCTACAATGAATGCACACCTCCACTTGTCATATGTGCCGTGAGTGGTACATGGGAATGGAAGCCCCTCCCCCCCCCGTTCTACGGGTGACCTTGCGCTAACTTCCAGGGAGACCAGAGTTGGGGTTAAGATTTGAGGGTTGCGCCCCGAAGGGGGGCAAGGATCGGTTACGCTGTCCTGGTCCCAATTGTAAGCACGATGTGGGCACTGAAAGGAAAGTAAGCCGAAGAGGGATGCTAACCCTTAACTCGCTTCTCAGCCTGACATTAACCCACACCCTAAAACTAACCCTACCTCTAATCCGAAACATCAGGTTGTCCTATTTTCTGTTTTAGAGTTGGTTACCTTCCCACTAACGAAGTTAGCATCCTCTTTCGGCTTACTTTATCTGCGATGCCCACATCGCGCTAACACTTGGGACTAGGATAGCGTAACCGACCCCTAGCCGCGCCGGCAACATGGAATCGCCATACTACGGATGGACTTGCCCCTAATTCGCAGGCTGTTTTCATTTTCCGATTAGAATCAGCCCGCCGTAAGGCTGTTTTGCCCCCGCGACAAATGGCTATGTACTTAATTCTTGCAAATCATCGTGACTCTCGGGCGCCCGCCCACGCGCGCATGAGTAAACACCAGGTGCGCGCGTGTGTGTGTGTGTGTGTGTGTGTGTGTGTGTGTGTGCTTGTGACCGCGCGCCCACGATAAATGAACTCTGTTGTCTACCGGCTCCACAGATCCAGATATGTAATTCTAATGACTTGGCAAACACCGGTGGATTATGACTGAATCGGCGCAGGGATGATTCAGTGAAGACTCTGGCGCCACTGGCTCGCATCTCATCAGTTTGGCAGACCTGTTTATTGAAAACAACTTAGGGAGGGCCTGTGCATGCTCTCTTCTTATAATGACTGATAAGTTTATACTAAAAATGCCACGAAGTGTCTGTTCATCAATCCCACTGTAGGGAGAGCAAAAAGGCGGGTGAAATTCGTCTTCTACTGAAAGATTAGTACTGCCATGTCTAGGCCAACTCCATGTGATCATGCCGACAGGGCGCGAATCCGCGGCCTATAGGACAGGGCATTAGGCTCAACGACTAGG